GATGTGACCCCTGTCCTGTGTGTATATACGGATGTGACCCCTGTCCTGTGTGTGTATACGGATGTGACCCCTGTCCTGTGTGTATATGGATGTGATCCCTGTCCTGTGTGTATACGGATGTGACCCCTGTCCTGTGTATATACGGATGTGATCCCTGTCCTGTGTGCATACGGATGTGACCCCTGTCCTGTGTGTATATACGGATGTGACCCCTGTCCTGTGTGTGTATACGGATGTGACCCCTGTCCTGTGTGTATATGGATGTGACCCCTGTCCTGTGTGTACATATGGATGTGACCTGTCTTATTCCTGCAATGTTGTTTGACTGCTACATTTCCTGTCTTCCACAAAAAGTCACCCTCTCTGAGCGTTACTGAGCCTTGCATCAACCACTCTCCATAGCTGACAACATATCACAGGTGCAGTGCTGTGTGCACTCCACTGCTCCCTGGCTGGCAGTGACTGCTGTATACAGACACAGAGCAGAGAGTACACATATACACAGTCTACAGATATAGTACAGTGGGTGCACAGCCTGTATCTCCCAGTACCTTAGTGTTAGATAACAAGACCACCCCTAGCTATCGCACAGTGCCACCTATCTGGGCTTGTCTTGGGCCCAGAGCTGGGGCCCCTGGTGGCATGTTCTACCTAGTCGTGACAGGCAGGCTGGGAGATGTATTTGAAATGGTGGATCAAATATAGGAAGAGAACAATTCTGTGTGATTGTGACAAAATCATTAACTGTTGTTGATAAACCCTGGTTGCCGAGTGCTCTAGTAGTGGCAATGAGCAAATCAGGTGCAAAACTGAGGGTCATTGTGTGAGTTATTACTCCTACAGGGAATTCTTGGTTTTGTGAAGAATTTTTCTGTATGCTGCCCATCTTTATACAGACCAAAAGTAATCTGTGTATATATTGAAATAAAATATTCAGTTAAGAATTGCCTGTATGTGATTTGAGGTTTTTGTTGATGAACTGAGCCTCTGATGAAGTCGTTGAGTTAGTGCCTTACTGTGTGATGCCCTGATAGATACAGTGTTTCTGAAGTCAAGAAGTGAGGGAAGTTTTTTTTTTTGTTTTGTTTTGTTTCAGGGCCGAGTAAGGATTAAGGAGAACCATTCATCCACTTTCCTATCCATTTCTTTTTACATGATACTGTGATCATGTGGAATATACCCCCCCCCCCCCTCACTGTGTAACACAATGATAGAAGTTTGCATGTTGAAAGGTGGAATTACAATTATAATTCAGATTGCTTGTGGAAAGAGCTTTGAGGAGTAAATACTAGTTTTTTTTTTTTTAGAGTACTAGTAATAGGAAAATGGCTCCATATTCTCATTAATGGCAAAATTCCTGGATTAGGATTGACACACTAGCACATATGTATTAATACTAAATGAACAGAGTTATTAGCAGATTACATAGTTATCACGCTGGTCAAGGTGGATTAAAGAGGATTAGCCAGTTCTACTGGACAGTGGTCAGCTCTGTGTATCCAGACCTGGTTCCCACAGGTGTAGAGTTCTGGGCAGTATCCTCTCCACTGCCTGTCTGTCTGCTCACGGAAATAATTCAATAAAACAATAAGATGCCACTTGTGAATGGAGGGCTTGGCGTGCTTGTGACTTTGATGAACAGCTGTCTTTTGGCAGGGAGAGTGGAGTTGAAAGTTTTTTTTTTTTTTTTGTATTTCATTGATGTCTGGGAATCCTTTCATAGTAGATTTGAATTCTCAGACAATGAACCTTGCTTTAAGAACTAGTTCCAGAAGCCTTTTTTGTAGGCTGCATAAGGGATGTTTTTTTCTCTGAAAAATGCAGAAAAGTTATTACTGATGTTTGGCTTAAAGACCCCATGTTTGCCACATTTAAACCCCCCCCCCCACACACACACACACACTGATGTAGCCAAGTATAAGCCTGACCGCATGGTTTATGTTTGGCAAAATTTAATGACAATAGGAGAGAAACCTGCCAAGAATTGGGAAGTGCAAGGTTAAGAATTCTGTAACTTCCTGAAAGTCACAGTAAAGAAAAAACATTAAGGTTTTTATGAAAAAATAATTGTCATCAGAATAAATCAGGGGTCCCTTGCATCAATAAATAAATAAATAAATAAATAAATAAATAAATAAATAAATAAAATAGGAAATAATAATAAAATAAAATACTGATTCCTTACATCAAGTCATTTGTGAGGGACACAGACATGATAAGCTGTATAAAACAGAGAAGAAGAAATATTTTGGACACAGAATGGATACCTGAGAGTTCTTTGAAATGATTGATAATAAAATATACCAATCCTTAAAGCTTTTTGGAAATCTGAAATTGAAATTGACACTGAGATGAACATTTGCTGAATTTTTAACCTCCCAAATTACTGTGTTAATTTTGTATCTATTGTCTTAAAATTCTCTACCTGCGTCAGTGTAGAGCTATGCTAGTACCTATTTACAAAAAAAGGTCTGTGACCGAGTCTTTGTTCCTGGGTTTGTACCCCTAGGACTTTCCA